GGCAATGAAACGATATATGATAGAATGTAAAACTAATGTTCTCCCATGTAAACTATCTTTGGACATATTGTCCGGAGGAAACAATCATTGGAGAAGGATGTCATGCTGGGTAGGGTGGAGGGTCAGAGAAAAAGAGGAAGACCCCCAATGAGATGGGGCAGCCAGGTGGCATCATTGATGGACTCAAGTGTGGCAACGGTAGTGAGATTGGCCCAGGATTGGACATTGTTTCGTTCTGCTGTGCATGGAGTCGCTATGAGTCGGTTCCGACTCGATGGCACCTGACAACAACAACAAAAATGTAAACTCTCACATAATTCACAATAAAACATTTTGAAAAACAAAAAAACTGCATAGGATCCCCTTGCTCTGTTCAAATGACTGCATCTCATTTAGGAGTTTGTTGTTGTTGTTAAGTGCTGTCAAGTAGGTTCCAACTCATAGTAATCCTGTATAATGTTTCTAAGGAGTGGCTGATGGGTTTGAACTACTGATTGTGAGGTTCAAACCCACCTTGTGGTCCAGTGCATTATCCTACAGAACCACAGAGGCTAGAAGTCTAAATTTAGGGGTTTGACTTTAGGAAACAGTGTTTTCTGTCTGTCAGTTCTGAAGTAAGCAAGGTCTTTGTGTCTTTGAGCTTTTAGTCCTGGGAGGTCTTCCTTTAGTTTAGCATCTCTCTTCCTCCATCTCTGCTTACATTTGATCTCTTTTATTCTAAATAGATTGACTCAGGATACACCTACTTCATTCATATACTAATCCTACCTCATTAACATGACAAAGACAACCCATTCCCAAATGATATTGTAGCCACTAGAGGTTAGGATTTTCAGCACATATTTTGGGAGGTTACAATTCAGTACAAAACTTCCTTTTTGGCCTTCCAAATCCATATCCTTGCCATGTTAACCCCCTCACATTACAGTAAAATCTGAAATAAACTCCAGTTCCAAAACTTCGTTTTGCGAATCATTTAAATCAAATATTGGTGACACTTTAGGTTTATTCTATCCTATGGCAAAATTCCTTTTCATTTTAGAGCTTATGAAATCTGGACTACAAATTATCTGCTCCCAAAGCACAGTGAGGAGCAAGGCACAAGGTACACATTTTCATTACAAATGGAAGAAATTGGAGGGAAAGAAGAGATCATGAGCATCAAACAAGTTCAAAACCCAGCAGATCACTTTGCATAAGTTCTCAAGACTGGAAAATAATTTGTTTTTCCTTGATATCATCTAGACAATGGTCTTGGTCTCTACACTTTGGTTGTTGGTCATGCTTTCTAGATACGGGGTGGAGGACCCTTGGTCCTGTGCTTCAGCTTTGTCTTCCAGGCCCACTGGGACAGAAACTCTGCCCCTTCAGTTTTGGATTGCCCCATTCTGCTAGTCTGTCTGAGTGAACACCCCATCCCCTTTGCCTTAACAGACCCTTCTTTGCCCCTTTGTCATGGTAACCAAGCCCCCTCAACTTTAGGCAGCAGCCCAAACCCCTGGGTAGTCCACACCTTAATGGCAATTTCACAGTACAGGAATGAGTTGGTGAAAATCCTTTTGTTTGAAACCTAGAAGGCTGTGTGTCCCAACCCTTTGAGACTCAGGAGACCATGGCCCCATTCTTTGAACCTCTGAAGGTTTTCCTTTCTGTGCTCTTTCCAACAATTGTTCTGATCTACAAGCTGCTCCACAGGTAGCCCTTTCTTTTTCTGGAGGACAAAAATGTAGCTCCTTTTGTCTATTTCTTGTGTGTTTCCTTGCAAGAGGTAGACACATCTTTCTTTTTGTTCTTTCTCTCTCTCCTTCAGACTTAGCTGATGGTGAGTTTTGTGCCATGGTTGTTAGCTAGATCCAGCTGTCACTGGCTTAATCTCTTTATTAAAAGATTGTGTAATCACATTCTTTGTAAATATTCCAGAACACATGTTCTTAGTTTGTAAAATAGCATTTTCCAGATCTTTAAGTTCTGTTTTCGTTTTACACAGTTCATTTTCACTCCCTTTCCTCTCACATTTTACTATAAGTGACACAGAAAAACTACACATTCTCTTTAAAATCCTTCTCAGAAATCTTCTCAGCTAGATATCCAAATTCATCATTTACAAATTCTACCTTACAATCAATATTTGAACATAATCCAGACAAGTTTTTTTTACCACTTCATAAAATGTATCACCCACCCTTCTTCTATTATTCAATGATATATTAATCATTTTCTTTAAAGCTTAGTGTTGTTGTTATGTGCTTTGAGTCAATTCAGACTCATAGTGACCCTATAAACTCTGAGGTGCAGCTGATGAGCCTGAACTGCCGACCTTGTAGTTCAAACTGATCCTTTACTCTAGCACCTTAACCCACAGTATATTTAGTATCCACATTAAAGCAATACTTTTTGATTGGTACTATATGAGTTCTCTGAGACTATGGAAACTTCTTGTATTGTTCTCCTTATATGCTTTTGAATCTTCAGCTTTGATGTCCATAATTCTATCAAGAGTGTCTTCAAGGTAATCTAGGCTTAGTGCTATTGTTAAGTGAGGTCAAATTAGTTCCCACTCATAGTGAACCTGTGTAGGGTTTCCAAGGAGCAACTCATGGGTTTGAACCACCAACCTTGTGGTTAACAGTCCAGTGCTTATTCTGCAGTGCCACATCAGGACACCTATTGTTGTTATTGTTAAGTGCCTTTGAGTTGGTTCTTACTCTAGTGACACTGTGTAGGGTTTCTGAGGAGCAGCTGGTGAGCTTGAACTACTGACCTTATGGTTCAAACCGACCTTGCAGTCTAGTGCATTAACCTGCAGCGTCACACTAGGCCTCCCGTTAGTCAACTTAAAACTCTTCTAGTTTCTACCCATTACCCAATTCAAAAAGTGTTTCCACATTTCAAGTATGTTAGAGTAGCACCCACCTTTTCGGTACCAAACTTTGTCTTAGTTAGTATTGCTAGAACAGAAATGCCACCAGTGATTGGGTATAACAAAACATAAATTTACATGAGAGTTTAGGAAGCTAGAAGGCTGAATTCAGGGTGCTGGCTCTATGAAAAAGATTTTTTCTCTTTGTCAGCT